AAGAGGAAGGACGGAAGAAAGGAAGGAAGGAAGGAAGGAAAGAAAGAAAGAAAGAAAGAAAGAAAGAAAGAAAGAAAGAAAGAAAGAAAGAAAGAAAGAAAGAAAGACAGAACGGATGGACAGATGGACAGGTAGATACAGACAGATGATAGATAGATTTGATAGATGAGATAGGTAGGTAGGTAGATGATCGATAGATGATACAAGTCACATAGATGATAGACAAATAGATGATAGATAGAGGATAGAGATAGATAGATACCATATAAGACAGGAAGGAAGGAAGGAGAGAGGGAGGGAAGGAGGGAGGGAGAAAGAGAGAGAGAAAGAGAGAGAGAGAGGATGGACAAAAAGGATGAAGCAGGGAGGGAGGGACTCTCCAGTTTAAGATCCTAAATCAGGAAAATATCAAAAGGAAAATTTACTGCCCTCTCTTGAGGTTATTTTTAAGGTTGAAAGTTGCTCAAGGACAGGGCCAGCCAGGCAGTGGCTGGCCCCATCCAAGGCGGCCTCCTCACTCCGCATCCCCCATCCTTCCAAAACTGCAAAACGCCCCCCCTCCCTTCCCCCCACAGTGCTCTCACTTCCCATTCCTTCTGCCTGCCAACTTCTCCTTTCCATTCTGGGCGGAACCGACTCAACTCTTCCAAGGCATGGGGTGGGGGGTGGGGGTGAGGCGAGGAGGGGGTGGGGGTGGAAATTACATCCCGTAAACCTCCTCCATCTCACCGGCTACCCTTCCCCAGCTAAAGAAAGCAGAAGCCAAAGTGGCCAGCTGCTACCCTGCTGCCACTTGCTTGTAAGAGGGCCAAAAAGACGTCCTTGGCCGATGACCTCTAAGTACTGCCTCCATCCGTGGGATAAACAGAGAAAGGAGGTCCAAGTTGTGGGCTGGAGTCTCCCAACGAGACCCACTGGATAACCCCTGGGGTGCCATTGAGTCTGCCCTCTGCCTCTCATCCCGAGATTCAGCATCGCAAACCCACTCTCAAAAGAAGCGGTCCTCACCTTGTGTCGAGGGCACTAGGTGATGCTGGCCCCGTGTTTTCGTGCTCCTCTTCGGCCCCCGCCTGCACCGATGACGCTCGGGAAGTGTCCGGCATGCCGTTCCTGGTCCCTGTCCCTCCTGGGTTGCCATTTGGCGCTGTGCGGGAACTGCTCGCCCCGCTGAGCCCCGCACTCCCGATTTTACACTCCTCACCACTTACGTCAAACACAAGCGTGTCGGGAGCAACAGAAGCAGCCTTTGGCTCGGGATGCAGGGAACCTCCGGAGATGTTTCCGTGGCTCTCCGTGGCTGGCTCCGAGACCGCGGCTACGGCTGCGGAAAGAAGGGACAAAGGTCGGAAGGGGCGTGGCTGTGAACAGTGGCACTTTTGAATCCATTTTAATCCATTCACCTCCTCCCCACTTCCTTTCATTTACCTTCCTTGCGACCTGCCTTGGAAGGCGACGGAGAACGGCCAGAGGGGTCCTCCTCCTCCTCAGCCAAGGGGTTCAGATCCCGTGATGTGTCTACATTGGGAGGAGGAGAGGTGGTCGTTATGACAGAAGAAAAGGAAAGAATTGGGAGGAAAAAGGAGGAAGACCCTGAAGAGATGGACTGTCACACAGGAGAAGATTCGAATTCTACCATCTATCTGTCTGTCTATCATCTATATCTATCTATCTTTTATCCTCTCTCTCTGCTCTCTCTCTAGCTAGCATCTATCTATCATTTCTATTTTCTAGCATCTCTCTTTATCCCCATCCGTCCATCATCTGCCTATCTCTCTGTTTGTCTATCTTCCATTATCTCTCTCTCTATCTGATCTATTTATGTATCTATCTGTCTGTCTGTCTATCTTCCATTATTTCTCTCTCTAACTGATCTATTTATCTGTCTGTCTATATTCCATTATCTATCTATCTATCTATCTATCTATCTATCTATCTATCTATCTATCTATCTATCTATCTATCT